TGAGATGTTGGGGGGTCAGTTGAGATGTTGGGGGGTCAGTTGAGATGTTGGGGGTCAGTTGGGGAGCACCATGACACCCCCCATCTTCAGGAGGAATTATCCGGCCGGCTTCAATAGGGTCACATGTTGTGTTTGGATTAGAAGAAGACAAATGTGAGCTGAGCCCAAGAGCTGACACTCTGAAGTGGCGGGGGAAGCCGCAGACCACATGATGCGGTCAGAGATTTGTTGTGTCAGTAAACAGTGTCTGGGCTCCAGAAGATCAGAGTGTCCCCTGAGGGCCCGGCTCCAGAAGATCAGAGTGTCCCCTGAGGGCCCCGGCGCCGCAGCAGATGTTACACTGACCCTACCCTGTAATTGTTCTGTGTGCGGAGGGGGGGGGAGGGGAAGAGCTCCGGGACACAAATATTTCTTCTCTACACAAAGCTGCTGGAAACGCAGAAACCTGAAAGATCCCCGAACACTGGACCTGCCCCCAACATAGGAGCAGTGCGGGGCCCCGTCCGGGCCCCCAGGATCCATCAACGACCCTCGAAGAAACCGACTCAACATTGTAACCTGAGAGAAACTGCAACCAATCAGAAGCCGCGTCACCGAAGCCGAGCCGACCGCCATCCGACTATGATTCGCTGCACTGTATTGTAGCTCCGCCCACTTGTGTACATTCAGGTTCACATTAGTGAATGAGGAGTAATAACAAGTCCCCCTTACTCATTCACAAGGGGGGGCATCCGGGGGCCCCTTTTATGAATGGGGGTACCCAGGTGCAGATAAGCCCCCCACAACCAGCAGGCCAGGGATGTGGGGAAGAGGCCCGGTGTGGTGGGGGATGTATCACATGTTACATGTCCTTTCCCCTGGTATGTATCACATGTTACATGTCCTTTCCCCTGGTATGTATCACATGTTACATGTCCTTTCCCCTGGTATGTATCACATGTCCTCTCCTCTAGCATGTGTTCATCACCTCTTGTAAGACTTCTCCAGTATATTTTGCACACGCGTGTAGACTTTCTCCTTCCAGCT